ACACACACACACACACACACACACACACACACACAAACTTGGCTTTTTTTCTGAGTATAGATAGTCCACTTTTGAGTTCAATTGTCTGTGATCACTCAGCCTGGATGCCAGATGTCAGGTCCTATAAAAATGCCCAATTAGTAGCCATCTCCAGCTCCAGCTCTGAGGGTCAACCTGGTCATCACTATAAAAGCAGCTTGATAACAGAAGAAAGGTGGCCTGTTCCCAAGAGGAAGAGATCAGGTGTTCAGCCCTGGCACCGCTGCTTGGCCACTGTGTGCTTTCAGCAAATTAGTAACCCCTCTCGATTGCTTCCCAATCAGATGAGGTCATGTGGATGACTCACTGTCAGCCTCCCTCTTCTCTACTGTGAAATGGAGAGCCCACACCACACTTACCTCGGGGGTTACTGTCAGAAATTCACCTGGTGGGCTCGCATTTAAGGGCAGTTCCTCTCCCCAAGCACCATCCCCACCTCACCCTTGGTGAAGCATTCCACCTTGATTTATATTCTCTTCAGTCACATTTCTAAGACAGAATCCAATCTCATCTCTTGATTTAACCTGGCTCCCCTTCTGCAAGCTCCTAGTTTTTGAAAAAAATCCAGAGAAGTCTCTTTTTCCTTCTCCTGATATTCCTTGAAAAGACTTGTCCTTCACAACGGAGATACTTAGCTTTGAGGGGCTGGGTTCCTTCCTTGCCGTGAAGTACTGAGTTTTATTTCAGAACCAAAGGACATAAACTGGTTTATCCATGAGTAGGTTTAGAGAGTCTGCAGAAGACAGGATGGAGATCACATGTTGTACTTACTGACCACCCTGGACCAAGATCGTACTTATCTCAAAAAACATAATGTTTTGTCATAATGATAGTTTCATCTTTCATATCTTTAAGTGGGTGGGGAATGAAAGGAAATTTGATTTCTCAGTTTCTCAATGACTCTGTGTTGGTAATATACACTTTGTTTCAGTAGGATGCCTGCAGGATTCTTCTTGGGTATGTCTGAGTCATGTTATGTACATGTGGTTTGAGGGTTCAAGCACCTTGTCTTCCTTAGCATTTGATCGTTCACTTTATTGTTACGGGGAATGGTAGCCAGGTATCTTTTCTCTAGCGTCTGCCATAAAGCCCTTTAGAATTCAAATTTGTTCTTGTCAACAGCTGGTATTCCAACTTTGGAAACACTGGCCATAGGAAAAAATGTTCTTACTCAAACTGCCTAATTGAGAAATAATTGACCCATGCCTACCTGCCTCCTAAGTTTGGGGATAGTGGTGCTGTGACGTTTTCCCCATAACACTAAAATTCCTGTACAAGTACCTGATCTTAAAATTCTATACATACTAAAGGAAACAATCATGGAAGTGAGGTGAATGGGCGCACGTGTGTTTTCTCCTTTTTCTGGGATAGTTTTCATTTTCGAATGTTGGAAAAGACATAAAATTTCATTCTTCTTTCAGTCAACATGTAACTTTATGTCTTTTCCAAATCTTGCCAAATGTCACAAAGCTCTCTGTAGAGCTAGCCATGGTTCTCAGACCTGCTAGTCTGTCCTTTGTGGACTTCGCAGTATAGGGAAGAGAGAATGTGAGCAGGCAGGAGAGGACTGTTAGACTCTAAGGCACCTTCCTTTCAATCTAGTGGCAAGTTGTGCCCCTCGTGTGCTCCAGGACAGACAACCTGATGCATCCTGGTTCCTTCTTCACACAGCTCAGCACAGAGGAAGCAGGCACAACTATGAAATCACTATTAAAATCTGGTTGGCTCTTCGGTGTGACTAAAACATGGTGACACATCCATCTCCAAATAAACTATACTGCTTGTTTCTTCTAACGTCATCTCAGCTCACTGCTTGTAAGCCACACTAATCTTTGCAATTTTAATGATGGAAGCTGGCCTCCTAATCTCTGTGAAAGGGTCCTTGTTGCATAAAGTGGACAGTTGGTCGACACAGTCCCACAATTCCTATTATTTCAGACATCAATTCTAATAGCTTACACTTTATTGGCATCAACTCTAGCCATAACAGATGGAATTGTACGTGAGACTACATAGGCCATTGATGTAATAAATTTGTCTTTACGACAAAACGCTATCATGTACTTCTTCTCTGATGGAATTGTGTAGTGCTTTCTACTAAGTCTAAAGAACACACTCTGAAGGATTAATGATACAGGAGGTATCTGAGGATACAAGAGGCTTAGAAACATTCTCCCTGGAAATACAAAGCTTGGAGAGAGGTTTTCACATTCACAGAGTAAACTAGGGCCAATTGTTCCCATGACAACTAGAGAGCAATTTCAACAGAACTTCTCCCTTCTGAGTGGGGGTATGATAGTTCTTTGGGTGCAAGAGTGAAAGTAATTTTCTTATACTTTGGAATACTAACTGAGAAGTTTTGGGGTGTGGTTTTTTTTTTTTTTTTTTGGTCTGCTGTTTGTGTTTATGAAAATCACATACTCTTTGCCAGCCTACTGAATTTTTAAAAATGAAGACTTGCATTGTAAAAAGATGTTTGACATGGAGTTTCTAATTCACAGATTAGGAAATTAATCTGAATCAGACTTACTATGGATTCAGCGCACTCATGAGGTTTCCTCATATTGCTACCTTAATGTGAACTGGACACCCAACTTGAACACAATCCCATAAAAATTTCTTCACAGCCCCTTTGAAATTGCAACAGTGCAGCCCAACCTCAAGTAAACAATTGCCCATTCGCCGGTTATTTAACATATGGACTGAAAGCCAACAGACTTTTGCATGTATGCACTTGCTTTTATAAACAAATTTTAGGTTGGAATAAGGAGCTCCTAGTTCATTACGCTGGAGATTGTCCTCGCTGCCGTAGGCTATTGAAGTGAGCCTCCTTCAAGATCTGGTTGATGCGGGAGTAAGGACCTTGGCACAGTGCATATTCCTCATGCCAGAACTGAGGGTTATTCCCGCTGGGTTCGGTAACGATCTGGTTTACGTTGCTTGCTGGTCCACTTGCTCTCTCTGGGCTGTTAACACTGCTGCTGCTCCTTTCATTACTACTGCTTGAAGGCTGGAAGGAGAAAGACAGAAGGAGGATTCCTGTTGTGCTATTATGATATTTCTCCCACTTGCCTTGGAGAATAGCAGCATCAAACTCAATACTAGGCTTACCGGTTTACAAAGAACAGCCACTTAGGAGAGTTCATTCTATCCTCACAACAAACCTCTAATTACATTGGAATTAATAGCCCCCATTTTACAGCCGAGGAAACAACATCACTGATTTGTCCAAAGTCACATAGCTAGGAAGTGGCAGATGAGGATTCAAACACAGGCCTTCTAATTCCAAAGCCCTTCACACATCCTCTGCTCCTGCTTATACCATTTATTCCAATAACTGCATCAGAGAAGTAAGTTCTCATCCTCCACGGGAAAGCACCAAATAACGCTATGGGACGCAGTAAAATAATAACCATAAAAATAAGATGTATTTTTGGTACAAGTTAAAATAAACTTAACAAATTTTTAGATACATACATTTATGCATACATACATGTATACAGACATATATGCACATGAATAATGATTTTGTACTTACGTTCTGATAGTTGACATATATCATCCTCCTATATCAATTCAAGACTACACATATATCCTGAAAGGCATTTGACAAACTTTTTATCAAAGTTATATGTTAATTACTTGCATTTTTGATGACTAGCATTCATTGTTCTTTCATATTTACGCATTTGGTAGAATATGTGTGTGTGTTTGCACTTAAGAATTTTTTTTCACACAAATAATCTGATTTATTGAACTTATTTCCTTCAGCTAGATAAAGTAGTTGAGTCAGTAGAAGATGGTAGACACCCTATCCTCTGCATGGGTCTTTTTTTTTTTCTGTTACTCCACAATCCATAATTCATTATTATTATTTTTACTTTTAATTCAGGATATTATGGGGGTACAAACATTTTGGTTAATGAAATGCGTTTGCCTCGCCCAAGCCAGGGCTACAAGCATGTCCTTCCCCCATACGGTGTGCCCTATTTCCATTAGCTGTGGGTTTACCTCCTCACCCCCTCCGCCCCCTCCACCCCTCACCCCCTCCCACCTGACCGGCACCCAGTGAGTATTACTACCATGTGAGCACCTTAGTATTGATCATTTAGTTGCAATTGGATGGTGAGTACATGTGGTGCATGCTTGTCCATCCTTGTGATAGAATTTATTTTTTCATTGAACTTACATGACTCAGAGTCTTTGTCATGTTGGAGAAGCTACTTAGCGTTCTCTGAAAGGAGTCCTTTTCAAGCATTCCCCATCTTGCAATGTTAGGTTTCTCAAAGGAAAATGTGATGGTGAGGACTCTCATCTAAATTACAGTATTTGACACTGTCAGTATTAACTTTCTTTCCAGAGGTAACATTAAAAAGTCTTAAACCAAGAAGGGTCATAGTCCATAGGTCATTTGGAGCCACTCAGCTTAGGTCCCAGACTACACTGTCCACAGATACCAAATGACAACCTTTGTTCCTCTTTATCCAATTGAAAATACATATTAAAAGAACTGTCCATGAGATAGGAGGGATCAAATGAAGTCAGATGTGAGAGTTATCAGCAACAGCAATCAAATTGACTTAAGGATTAAATGGCAAGGCCAACTCAAACAGAAAATTCAAAAAAGTTATTTTCCTAGGCCTGAGGGTAAAACTCTAGAACCTCCACTATCACAGACCAGTGAAGTTATGAATATTCAAAACGCTATTAAGCTATTACATTGGGTAAGAAACCGACCACACACAACTTTCTTTCCTGTTAGTTGGCTTTCCTTATCATTTTTTTTTTGTTAAAGGTACTGTCTGAAAAATTAGGTAAGAAGTAGAAATCATTTCTGATGTATTAAATTTTCATCTCAAATGATAACATATCCATTTTACACTATAATGTAACACTAGAGTGATGACATGCTGTGAAAAGGTATAGTACATTAAAATTCACAGGCTAAAACGGATTTCTTCAGAATAATTATGAAGAAAAAAAAACAGGTCTACCTCTAATTTCCGGTTCATTTAGAACGTTTTTTTAATTCAATTGTGTAGAGACATATATAAAATGTTCATTAACACATTGTTTATACTATCAGCTCTTTTTTCATAGCTGAAAACCAGAAATAACTAAATGTTTAAAAACAAGGAAGTGGGTAAATTATAGTCCATCCACTCATACAGTATCTCATCTGCCATTAACAGTTATGATATATTTGTAAATATACTGATAAATACAGATGCCTTTGACATCATTTGAAAAGGTTACAAATCAGTGTGTACAGATTTTCAAATGGTTTTAAAATGTTTCTGTTTAATGTGTCAACACCTATCCATATTTGTATATGTGTGTGTGTGTGTGGGGGGGGTGCGTGTGGGGGGGGAGTTGGGACTTTAAATCATTTTGTTTTTACTTTTATTTTTATATCTTCACTTCCTAACTCATCTGCTACAAACATATTTCTTTTGTGAAAAAGAAACATTTTACTCGTATGTAAGTAAACTAAAGAATGCTACTAGAAGACCAAGTAAAATCTCCTGCTTTTGAATTCAGTTACCACTGACTTCAAACAGATTTAAACTGTGATGCCATAAATGAGATTTTAGGAAGAGTGTTTAGCATCCTCTACCCTACCAAAGACCGTCTACAAAGTCATATACACTAGTATTTTCTAGGCCAATAACGCTGTTTAACGAATAAACATAATTTATATCATGCAACGCAGGCTTTGTCACGCTTCCCCTTCTGCATGTACTTCACGTGCGATATCCCACTTAGTAATTGTTTTATCATTAGATTGATTGGGAGGAAAAGTTTGCTTCTTGACGGTGTATGGCTTTGACACTTGAAACTGCTATCTTAGCCCAGCCAGAAGCATTTACCCTACTACACTTAATCTTAGAAAGATAGCAAATTCTATTACCAGAGCATAAATGAGATTTTTAAATGCTTCAGGATTGAGAAAGACCCCTAATATATAAATCCTTTTCATCACTCTCCTGATTCCTCACAGAAACTTCTCATCAGAATGCTTACCCTTCCTGACAGTTACAAAGCTCATTCTTTGTTCTCTGAATTTTCAATGTAGGTTTAGTGCTGCTATATGGGCAAGGCAAATGAAGAACAGAAGCCCTTGCAAATTAACACACAGAGAAAAGTAAAATTACATTAATGAAGACTCAAGAAGGATATATCACTATGCAAAATTCACAGAGGTATTTCACAAAAATCCTGGAGTCCAAGTCTCTGTGAAAAGGCAGGATTTAGATTAGTTGGGTCATACTGAAATCTGCACACTTACCCCTTAACCAAAGAAGCTTGGAGGCCAGCAGAGATTCGCCATTATATATTTTATTTTGGAACAGGCATCAGGATCACCAGTGAGCCTTTCTGACTGCTTGACTCCCTTACACATGCCAGGACCCAACCTCTGAGAGGCTCTCAAGTGGCACAGGTTGTCCTGACCCCCAACCACTATCCACACAAATACATCCACGTCTCCTGTGAACAAGGAGGTGCTTTGTCTTTGCTACTTAGGGATTCGACAGGTAGTTCCTGAGCCTAGTCAAAAAGAACACGGTACTTTGAGAAGGACAGCATTGAGCTATCTGCAGTGACAAGATTGCAATACATTCAATGTAGCAGTGAATGCTGACTGGGGAGATAGGGGAGGCTCCTGAAAATGAAAGCCATCCGAACTAGGCCTTGGAGCATGGGAAGAATATTAATAGGAAGCGTGTGACAAATGGAGGGAACAAGAGCACACGAAGGCTGAAGAAGAGTTTTTGAGGAAACAAAGTTAGTGATATGATGCAGCTGGTGCTTCCCAGAGAAGAGTTAGTGGGAGACAAAATATGCAACAGAAGATATGTCTACATTATCAGGGGCCTAAATGGCATTCTAAGAAGTCTGTAGGAACAGGTACTTGAACATAAGATACATGCTCAGATCTACATTTAGGAAGATGATTCTAATAGATGAATGGGGCAGAATGAGAGCACAAAGACCACCTGGGAAATTTCGCAATGTATGAAGCAAGAGGCAATGCAGTCCCGAATTAGGATGGTGGAAACGGAAAGAATGGGATATACTTGATACACAGAGCAGTAGAACAGAAAAAACGTCAGTGAGAAAAGGACAGAGACACCTAAGTTGACCCCAAGCACTCAGGACAAATGGAGGGTGCTCAGTAAATGTTTGTTGATGAACTTACTAGCAAGTCTCAGATGTTCCCGACCTATGGTATAGCAGAGGAGTAGGTGGGGTTTAGTGAGTAGTTGCATGAAGGGAGGTGAGAAATAAAAGGCATTTAATACACATTACAGTTTGAATTCAGTGGGGAGAGAAAGGACACAGTACTTGAGAGAAAAATGAGGTAGACACAAGATTAGTTAGGGAGTGGAAAGAGCTCCTTACAGGCTAATGAAGGAAACAGTGGATACATAGAAACCAAAGAGATGAGGAAGAATATTTATTATGGGATGTCTTCACAAAAACAAGCAGGAAATCGTGTGTCTGTTTATGACAGAGAATCATATAACTCTTCTTAATTGGAAAAGCAGATGAATCCAGTATTTTACCCTCTCAAGCCCCAGTTTTCCTCTCAACTCCATCCCCCTATGCCTGGAGCTTTTCACTTACGTGAACCTCAAGAGGAAAAAAAAAAAAAACTTCACCCCTAGTACACATTCCATCCCTGGAATAATAATGGGATGTTACTCTAAGGCACCTGCAAAACCTAGAGTAAGCAAAACAGATGATCCTAACCAAGTCCATTGAAGCACCTAAATTATGTGCTCCTAAAGTTCCAATGCACTTAAAATGGCAGGCCCACATTCCTTAATACCACTGAAACATTGTGGAATCATATGAACCATAAGATACCAAATTAATTAGGCTGTTGAATGACAACCACTTTCCATATTAGTCAGGCAATGATATTCATGTGTTAACTGTTCTGAGCTGAGGGGTAAATAATCTAAGCTCTCTGTAGCTCTCAGTTTCCCTCATAGATGACATTGGAGCGGACAGTGAGTTCTACGTTGTTTTCCAGCTCAAAAATTGAATGTATAATAGAATCTATACAAATGTAACAAAATCTATACAAATTATCGTGTTTGAACTGAATAAATAGGATTTGAACAAATAAAAAAACACAGAAAGAATGATAGGCAACTGTCACCTGTAGAAAATATTTGGACATGTTTGTCTGCAATTCATTAAAATAACTGAGATTTTAGCATTCAGTTGCAATACAAAAGTGCTTGGGATGTTTAGTACACTCCATGAGCAATCCTTAAATTTCGCAACAGATTAGGCCACCTTTGGAAAATCTTGTCCCTCCATTTTGAATGCATCTTTTAAGTAGAAGCTACTTTCGGAAGGCTCCCATTTTGCCATCAGGTTTTATAACACATATAACAACCATTATTTTGTTTAACAACAGTTTCATCCCCAAAAGAGTGTCCCAAAGCAGTTTTCTTAGAATGTATGTGATCAAAGGCGAAGAGAATGGCCCCAAATGTCTAAGCACCTAAGAGAAAAAGCTTTTCCAAAAATTTTGTCAAATGTTCCAGCTGTCATCTGAGTTGATACTACTTAAAATAATGACCTGACAAGGAAATAGTTCCTACCAGTTGAAAAAAAATCAGGATTCATAGAACTCTACCTTTCAATCTATGGGGGGGAGGGGGTGCCTGGTTCTGTTTTTCTCTCATTTGTCTTATTTCTGCTACTCCCTTGAAATTCTAGCATTAGGACATAAAATCTCTTCCTATTCTAGTAGGGAAGAGAAAAAGGCAGAGATCTCTTCCAGGTAAGCCACTTGTGTTTATATCTTTATAAGTTTTCACTCTCAATTTTTTGTACTACTCAGTAATCTGAAAAATAAAATGAATGTTCCTAGAAAGTAAGATAGATTTGTACAGAAACATTTCGGTATTTCTGTTTGTACTTTTTATAAGTCTCACACCTATATACTAGAGAATTTGCAGGAAAAGTGGTGGTATAATTTGTAAAGATGTAAGTTTGACAGTAAAGAGCAATCCTCTTATATGTGCAAAGATATCCAACAAAAAAGGCCAGTACCTGAGAGCCAATTACAAAAGATTAATTAGTTATATTTTACTCATGAAGGTAGCTGCCCAGGATCTCAGAAAATCACTACCTTTGTACAGGTCCCAGGAGGAAGATTCTCAGAAAAGGGAAAAGTGAGCTCAAAAATTAGTTGTTATCTAATAGTATTCATCCAGAAAGATTTTACAAGGCTCCTTTAATACTCTACTAGTAATTTATATATCAATGAAACCAATACTATACTAATAAACACTAGTCATTAAATTTAAGTCCTCTAGAGTGAAATCAAGCTCTTCAGTTTGAGCACTATTAATACTTCGTGAAATCACTAGAACCCCCACTGCCCTATAAATCTCCTTTTTAATTTTCTTAGCTAGAAATCAAGAATTTCCCTCCAGCTAATAGTATATAATTATGTTCTTTAAAATGTATTTTCCTTCTAAAATTAAGGGGAGTAAGATTATAATTCCCTGCTACCATGACTGGAGAAAGGTCCAGAACCTTCCTCCCAATTATATTAAGCAATGGATTTTGGTGCTTCCTTTACATCTTCTGTGTGATACTGTGTATTGTGGTTACGAGCTTCAGCTCAAAAGCCACTGCAATCAAGTAAGAATGCTTTAATGAAGATTTCTTGAAATGACACATTTTTTAATTGCAGAGCACAAATTAGATAATTTAGCTTAGGCAATGAATAAAATAGAGGTTATCTGACTATACTTCCTACCTTTATATCCTGAGAATCCTGAAAGACAGAGTTTCTCTTATTTCTTTTGGACTGGGGGGAATGTTGGTTGTCCTCTTTATTAGCATTCCTTCTTCTTTTCCTAAAAATAAAACACAAAGAGAGGGGGAAAAAATCATTCAACAATTGATCTTCTGGACACTTAAATTTTATTTAAATCTGAAATCTCGTCTGAGAAAATGTAAGTCATTGTCTGCTATTACAATAAAGTGGGAAGCATAAATCACCAGGTACTAAGAGGAAAAATATAAAACAGGAACTCTAAATCAAGTCAAACTGTAAGTTTAATTTCCAATATTCAACTTCATAATTTTAATTAATTCTTGGGAATAAAAACAGGAAGAGCTACACAGCTAAGTATTCAAAATCTACCTAATTAGGTTCATCATCTTCATTCCCTGAAATTACAAGTCCAAGTTATGTGATTTTTGACCCCTTCCATAAGATAACACTTAAGACGTGTGTCTGCCAGTGTCTATTTACTATTAAGGTCCTTGTGCAAGTGGTCTAGGGACACTGAAGACATTTCTTGTGTGCTGTTAGATAACAACTTGCTATACCAGGTAGTATTATGACATAGTAGTTACTTCACTTGATTGTCACCATGAGATTGTGGCTGATTACTTCCTGGAAACATTCTTTCCTCAAAAGTGTTTTTAATACCATTGAATTGTACACTTAAAATGGGTGGATTGTATGGTATGTGAAATATATCTCAATAAAGGTGTTATTTAAAAAAAATGTTTTTAATGATTGGTAAGAGTACACCTTTAGCCTCAAGTCCCCTCTCAGCAAGTAACCAGATTGCAGTGTTTGATATTGTTATTCTCACAGACACCCTGTTATTGATCAGTCATTCTCCCCAGCCATCTACTTAGAGATTACTTTTAAGTGTATGGTACTTCTAAGGATGCCTGAATCTACTCATTTTTATAATTTGATTTCTTTGCAATCTTCCTTTTATGTCTGGGTGACTAAGCACAGAGGGAATCTTGGAGATCATGTAAACCAGTGGAATTCAAATTCTTTATTAAAATAAAAAAAATCTTTCATACAAAATGAAATTCCAATACATAATAGAAAAAAGAGGACTTACTGTGCTGGGAACAGGGGCTCTTTAACCACACCCCTCCCTGGATCTGCCTCCCTGTGCCACCTACTAACTTAGCCTGATGTCTCTTCTTAAAAAAATGAGGAAACAGCAGGCCCAGAAAATCAAAGTGACTAGATAGTGAAATAAGTAAGGCTGGTGGAGCTGGGACCAAAAGGGAAGTTCTCTTGAGGCCTGGCTCAAGGCCCTCCATGAGACCCTACAGGAAGAGAAAATTAGTGAAGAATCATATATCCAATTAAATAACATCTTTATGGCAAAAACAATTTGCCAGCATAAATGAATTCAGATTATTTGCATACAATGCTGTTTAAAAGAAAGCTTTTTCTGTAGGAGATAGGAAATGTGTGATTTTTTTTTAACTATGTGAGACATGCCAAAGCAACATCAGAAATATTAGCTGGACTTGGGGAGAGAAAAAACATTGCAGTAAGATCTGGCTTGCTTCAAACATACTGTTTACTGTTAAATGAGTGTGTTCCTAATTCCAATAGTAATGGTAACTGGGTCCCTAAATTCACATTTGGTGTATTCTTCTTTATACCCCCTCCCCACCACCCCTCATTACATGACTTCAATCAATAATCCAATGCAGCAAGCTACATTGTAGGTTTTTAACACTGGATCAAACACTGGATCAAATAACCTTGGAATGCCTTCCAGAATCTCATTCTATAAATTGACTATGATGCAGGGTAGGTCCTTGTGGAAAGACAGCCGGTACACTGACAGCTGTTCAAAAGATCCACCATATCTACCAAGGAAATTCTGTGATACAATTTACTAACTTAAACCTTATTGAGATTATTATTGAATGAAGGAAAGAGCTTTGAACCTGAAAAGACCTAGGCTCTGTCCTGAGTCTGTTACCAACCAGCTAAATGGCCTTCAGTAAGTCAACTGATCAGGCTGAGGCCAATTAAATTGATTTTTAATACATGCTAATCACATGGGCAAATGCTGAAAATAAAATGGTAAATAGAAAAAAATCAAGTAGAAAACAGTTGTTATGTTATAATCTAGTGCTATGAAAGCACTGACTCTCTCTATATATACATACTGTATTGATAAAGGCCCATAAAACCCAGGACAACTTGGGGAAAGAAAATGACAAGACCTTTCAAAGAAGCAGAAATACAAGTTGCTAGGGTACCTAGGCAGCCCCACAGGAGAAATGCCAATTTGAAAAACAAAAGGGTTTTTGTCCCCAGATGGTTAAGTTTCTGTGAGGGACCCTCCAGAAGGGGGCAGCCCCAGCCCCAAGACCTGGCTGGCACGGACACAGGAAGAACCAGCGTCTTCTCCCGGAAAAGGTTCCTCAGCGCTTTTTCAAGCGCAAAAGGCGGGGCGAGGGGCGAACAGGGCCGCTCCACGGCGCAGCCCTGCCATCTGCAGGCCAGGGAGACCGAGAGCCACCAACCCCAGAGGAAAATCCATCTTTTCCGCTGCTTTTCTGCCCAGAGCCCGAAGGTTTTGGCTGGGGAAGCCAAGTAGGATGAAGACGAAGATCAGAGAATGGACCGGTACCAGCCGGAATGGCCCCGGCGAACCGACCCCTTCACGGAAGCTTCCCTAGTTCCGCCTTCAGAACCATGGCAACAGCAGCAGGAAATCCCAGCGCCACCGGAAATACGTACAGGGGGCGGGGCTGGCCTAGGATTGGCGGGTTCTGGGCCTGCGCGTTGGAGCCAAGTGAGGTCGGTGCCAGTCTCGCTCCCGCTGTCCTTTCGGAAGTTTCTTTCCCTACTCTCTTGTGAGCTGGCGCCTAAGCGAGAGGACCGGTGATGTCCAGGACCAGGGGTACAACTGCCCCAGCTGCCCCACGTTCGAGACCTGTACCAATCCCCTGTCGTTCTTCTCTCACCTCTCACGTGGAGCATTCACGGTTTTCCTTTCAGCCCTCTGCCCTCTGATCCTTCTTGGCGACCTCAGCGTCCACGAGGCTGGCCAGGCTACCACCAGAGCCACTATGTCCTCAGCAATGTTCTCCTTCTCTCCACCTAAATCTCCCCGCCCAGGTTCATGCGCTGGGCCTCAGGGAAGACTGCGCCCCTCCATGATGTCCTATTTTTGCATACTCTCCCATCGTCAGGAAGACTACCTCCTGTCCTTCCAGCTCCTTCCCCTACAGCTTTCAACCTCATGGAGGCCTCCAGTCCACTGACCACACCATGTTTCTCACCATCCACTAGGCCCTTCCTTACCTAGCTTACCCTTTCCTTATCCAGCTTACCTAAAGCTATAAACATTTTTCCTCAAACACGCCTCCTCTGCTCCTTTTTCCCATCTCCCTACCCTCCTGGCAACAACCCAGTAATGGACAAAGTGTCGGCATCCTCCACACCTGTATCTTCTCTCTCCTTTACCTACATTAACCCAAACAAGCACTAGCACCAACTCTTCTGATGATATTTACTGATAATTCATTGAGAAAACAAGCAATCAGACAGGAACGCTAACCACTTCCCAATGAAGCTCGATCTGCACTTGTGAGCTCTGTTGCCTCTCTGTAGGAAGTGACCTAATCCTATTTGAGGTCAGGCTCTTGAGGAAGATTTTCTCCTTGACCAAACTCTACTCAGGCTCCTCCGAACTCTCTTCTCAACTAGGTCCTGAGTTTTTTGGCTTCGGGTTAGTCTCTGCATTAATTATTTACTTGTATTTATTTATTTAGTTAGTTAAAGACAAGGCCTCACTCTGTCACCCAGGCTACAGGACAGTGGTGTCATCATAGCTCACTGCAACCTCAAACTCCTGGGGCAAGCATTGTTTAATTTTATTAAGAATCCTTTTAAGTCAATTTAGCCAGAATCCCCCATCCGTGATATCTGATTGCCCTCGATATCTAATCAGGTTCCTCAGCCGCCACTGTCTTCCAGGTGTTGCCAATCATCCTGCCTGCCTTTAGCAAGAATCCTGTTAGTTCAGTTTATCCAGAATCCTACCTTACCCTGATGTTTCCTCTTAGTAATTTTCTATCCATTGACCCTCACCTTGCTCCTTGGCAATAAATTCCCACTTTTCTTTGTATTTGAAGTTAAGCCCAATCTCTCTCCATCACTGAAAAACTCTATTGTTAGTGGTCCTTATTCCTATTCCAATGGTTATGAATAAAGTCTGTCTTATTGTTCTTTAAGAAGTGTCATGAATAATTTTTTCTTTAACAGTTATGGTATCTGCGACTTGGATAGGATCAGATTCATCATTGGACACCCAGACCTCTCACCTAGGACTCAAAGTGTATACCTTTGAAGCCTTTGTCTTCACTTCTGACTGATTGATCCAGAATCTATTGGTGAGTCAGATACCTGAACCACTGCTCCAGACAAATGTTTGTTGAAGCTGGTAAGGACAGATTTTCATTCTTAAGATTGTGAGTATACTCTTTGCAGTTGGATTAGAGACCCAGGCTTCTTCATTTGAAAGGTATTTGCTGGGCTGAAGTCTTTCTTCCTGGCTCTTTGTTTGAAGTGAGGATAATTCATTCCCTGACTCTTGGGCTTGGTTCTGGGCTGGAAAATTCTTCCTGGCTTTCTTGTTTCAAGTAGGGATCCACTCCTCAACTTCTAGGCCAGAAATTTTTTTCCTGGCCCTTTGTGAGGCCTCTCTTTTCTTTCTATTTGACACTATTTCTCCCATGGGAACTTGTCAGTCAGCTGTAATCCCCTTCTTGAATCCCTGCTGACTATATGCACTGCCAGCTCTGTCCACCTCCTTCTTGTTGGCATGATTTTTTTTTTTATTTCAGCATATTATGGGATACAGATGTTTAGGTTACGTGTGTTGCCCTTGGTTCCCCCCCCAAGTCCGTGTTTCAAATATGTCCATCCTTCGGGTAGTGCGCATTGCACTCCTTGTTTATACAAATAACCGTTCCCTCCTCCCTCCTCCCCCC